GGGATAACAGTGGGAAAAGAGAGGGAAATGAGGGATCCAGAGCAGGAAAGGGAGGGATCCCAGTGCAACCTTTTCCGAGCCCCTTTCCTGCCCCTTTTCCCACACTGATCCCATGTTTTTCCATGTTTTTTTTCCAGCATGACCGACTGGGAGACGGCGCCGGCCGTGACCGAGACTCCGGATATCAAACTTTTTGGGAAGTGGAGCACGGATGATGTGCAGATCAACGACATCTCCCTGCAGGTGACCCGGAATTCTGGGGGTCCTGGAGAGCCAGAGGAGGCTCCACAGGGGGAGGAAAGTGGGAATGCCGGGGATCCAGGAGGGGAAAAGGGGGGGTCAAGGATGGGCAGATCAATGACATCTCCCTGCAGGTGACCCGGAATTCTGGGGGGCCAGAGGGGGGAAAAGGGGAATCCAGAGGAGGAAAAAAGTGGGAAAAGAAGGATGCAGAGTGGAAAAGAGGAACCCAGAGTGGGAAAAGAGAGGGGAAAAGGGGGATCCAGGGTGGGAAAGAGAGAAGGGAAAGAGTGGGGAAAAGGGGTGGGGAAGGAAGCGTCCAGAGAGGGAGAAAAGTGGGAAAAGAAGGACGCAGAGGGGAAAAGAGGAACCCAGAGTGGGAAAAGAGAAGGAAAAGAGAGGGGAAAAGGGGGATCCAGGGTGGGAAAGAGTGGGGAAAAGGGTGGGGAAGGAAGCGTCCAGAGAGGGAGAAAAGTGGGAAAAGAAGGATGCAGAGTGGAAAAGAGGAACCCAGAGTGGGAAAAGAGAAGGAAAAGAGAGGGGGAAAAGGGGGATCCAGGGTGGGAAGGAGAGAAGGGAAAGAGTGGGGAAAAGGGTGGGAAAGAGAGAAGGGAAAGAGTGGGGAAAAGGGTGGCGAAGGAAGCATCCAGAGAGGGAGAAAAGTGGGAAAAGAAGGATCCAGAGCAGAAAGAAAAGAATCCACGGCGGACAAAAAAAGATCCAGAGCGGGCAAAGGAGACTCCAGAGCAGCACAAGGGGCCCGTCTCTGCGTCCCTACGGAGCAGGAAGGGTCCCTGCCCCTGAAGGCCCGGAATTCCCGTTATTCCCGGCAGGATTACATTGCAGTGAAGGAGAAATACGCCAAGTACCTCCCGCACAGCGCCGGGCGCTACGCGGCCAAGCGCTTCCGCAAGGCCCAGTGCCCCATCGTGGAGCGCCTCACCAACTCCATGATGATGCACGGCAGGAACAACGGCAAGAAGCTCATGACCGTCAGGATCGTCAAGCACGCCTTCGAGATCATCCACCTGCTCACCGGAGAGGTGGGAATTCCGCGGGAAAAAAAAACCCGCCCTCGGGGTCGCGACGCGCGGCTTCGGGGTCGTCCCGGGGGGATGCGGGAATTCCGTAGGAATACGAGAGGGGAACGGGTTGGAATAATGGGGGGAAGCTCGGGACCGTGGAGCGGGACTTTGGGATCATCCGGGTGCTCACCAGGGAGGTGGGAATTCCGTGGGAGTTGTTGGGATTCCGAGCAGGGAAAAAAATGCCCTTGGCGATGGCGAAACGCGGCTTCGGGAGGTGGGAAAGACACGGGACCTGGGGGGGGTTTTGGGGTTCCAGGAGAGGATTTTTTTGGGATACGGAGGGCCTGAATTCCCAGTTTTCCCCCCCCAGAACCCCCTCCAGGTGCTGGTCAACGCCATCATCAACTCGGGGCCCCGCGAGGACTCGACTCGGATCGGCCGCGCCGGCACCGTCCGGAGACAGGCCGTGGACGTGTCCCCCCTGCGCAGGGTCAACCAGGTATCCCGGGATTCCCAAAACTCCCCAGTCCTGGAATCACCAAATCCTGGAATTCTCAGATCCTGGGATCTCAAATCCCGCAATCTAGGGGTCCCCCAATCCCAGGATCCCAAGTACTCCAATCCTGGAATGCCCCAATTCCAGAACCCCCACGTGCTGGGACCCCAAATCCCCAAGTCTCGGGATCCCACAATCCCAGGATCTCCCAATCCTGGGATCTCAAATCCCAAAAACCCCTAATCTCGGAACCCCAAATCACCCAATCCTGGGGACCCCAAATCCCGGGATCCCAGAATCCCCAAATCCCAGGGAGCTCCTTAACCCTGTTCCCAGAGGGTTTCCGTTCTCCCTGTTCCCGAGGAGATCCCGTTATCCTCTCTTCTCTTTTTCCCCACTTCCCCCACTTTTCCCCCCTCATTCCCGTATTCCCCCCCCCAATTTCCTGCACCGTTTCCCTCCCTCATTCCCACTTTTCCCCCCTCATTCCCGGTTTTTCCCGTTCCAGGCCATCTGGCTCCTGTGCACGGGCGCCCGCGAAGCCGCTTTCCGCAACATCAAAACCATCGCCGAGTGTTTGGCTGATGAGCTCATTAACGCAGCCAAGGTACCCCAAACACCCCAAAACCGCCCCAAAAACCCGCTCCAGCACTTCCCAAACAACTCCCAAATCCCCAAAACCCCCTAGAGCCCCCCCCAAACATCCCAAAACCGCCCCGAAAACCTTCCCAAACAATTCCCAGATCCCCAAAACCCCCTAGAGCCCCCACAAACACCCCAAAACCACCCTGAAAACCTGCTCCAGGCCTTCCCAAACAACTCCCAAATCCCCAAAACCCCCCAGAGCCCCCCCAAACACCCCAAAACCGCCCCGAAAACCCGCTCCAGCCCTTCCCAAACAATTCCCAGATCCCCAAAAACCCCCTAGAGCCCCCCCAAAAAAACCCCAAACCGCCCCAAAAACACTCCCCCAACCACCCCCAGACCCCCCAACCCCCCCTCCCAGACCTCGGATTCCAAGGACAGGGAATTCCCAGATCCCTGGATTTTTGGAGGGGAGGGTCGGAATGAACACCCAGAGCCCCCAAACCACCCCTCAAACCCCCCAAAACCCCTCAAAATCCTCCCCAGCCCCTCCTCAATCCCCTTTTCCCGCTTTTCCAGGGCTCTTCCAACTCCTACGCCATCAAGAAGAAGGATGAGCTGGAGCGTGTGGCCAAATCCAACCGTTAGAGACCCCCCTGGAACGGGGGGACCCCTCCCCAAATAAATCCATGTGTTCTCTGAACCCCCCCCGCCTGTCCTGGGGGTCAATTCCCAACCCCCTCCCAAAAATTCAGGATCTGGGAATTCCTTGTGCCTGGAATTTGGGGTCTGTGGGGGTGTTTTGGGGGGCGGGGCATTTTTGGGGGATGTTTGGGTGTTAATTCCAATCCCCCTCCCAGAAAACCCAGACTCTGGGAACGCCCAAAATCTGGGACCACCCTTTCCCGAACCACTTCCCAACCCATCACAGAATTCCCAAGACCCTTAAAACTCTGGGATGCGGCTCCGGGACCCCCCAAATCCCAATCCAGACCCCCCCCAATCCCTCTGGATCCCGTTTTCCCTGGAAAACACCACACAAGACACTTGGGAAGAAGGAAAAGAGTCCGGTTTTCCCAGTAAAGTGCGGCTGTACAGGAGGGGCCGGACCCGGATACAACAGTCTGGGAATTTGGGAATTCTCTGGACACATGGAATTCCATCCAGATGATCCCACTGGATCCACCCCCATCCCAG